AAAAGCGTATTCTTCAGCCAACGTCCACCCAACAAATCATATGGAGACGACCGGGAGTTTGTTTTACGACTTTCTTTTGATCTGCTCTTATTTTGACTCATTTCTTTGCATTTCCTTCATTTAATTATTTCTCAGGAAATATGTGACAATCCGCAGTTACTTTATGAAGGACAATCACGTTTCGACGTAGTACAAGGTGAATTAGGCGATTGTTGGCTTTTAGCTGCTGCAGCAAATCTTACATTGAAAGATGAGCTATTTTATCGAGTTGTACCACCGGATCAAAGCTTCACCGAAAATTATGCCGGTTTGTTCGTTTAATCAGAATTAATTTGAAGTTTTAAATTCGGTTCTCAGTTCCCACATTTTCAATTGAAACCTTTTGTTTCTACCCTTCGTTTTCAGTTTCCTTTAGTTGAATTTTATCAGAATTTTCAAAATTGAAGGCATATTTCATTTCCAATTCTGGCATTATGGAACTTGGGTTGACGTTGTCATCGATGATCGTTTGCCAACATCTACTGATGGTGAATTGTTGTATATGCATTCCAAAGACAACAACGAGTTTTGGAGCGCTCTGCTGGAAAAAGCATATGCAAAGTAAAAGCTTCTTTTGATTTTTCTTAAAAATACTTGAAATTAAACGGTTTAATAACATATGTTCAAGATCTCTTAGTGACTAATAAAATCCGGTTAAAATGATCCTTCTGAATCGGTTGGTGTTATCTGAAATCAATCCTTTTTTTTTCGATATTTCATGCAAACGGCATATTGAGTAGAACACTTATGAATAGGGCAACTATCATCTAAAAACAGTGTAGCCTTTGCAAATTAGCATTGGTTCTTTCTGAAATTTACATTTTTCTTTAAATTTTTAATTTTTAAGACTTCACGGTTCATATGAAGCACTAAAAGGTGGTACGACAAGTGAAGCATTAGAAGATTTCACTGGTGGTTTGACAGAATTTTTCGATCTCACACAACCTCCTAAACATTTAATGGAAATGATGATGAGAGGTTTTGAAATGGGTTCATTATTTGGTTGCAGTATTGAAGTAAGCCCTTTCCTATAGATCACATTTTTTGATAATATTTGAAGGTTTTTCTTCTAAAGATTTAACTCTTGATTAAAAATTTATTCTGTTCCTTTTTATATTTAAAATTTTAAGATAGTATCGAAGTTATTACCGCTCAGCATTAATAAGGCTATTCATAAAGTTTCGCTCTAGAATTCTAAAAAATTTTGTTTCTAAGTAAAGAAAAGCCATATTAGTTTTGTACAATTTCAGGCAGATCCAAATGAATGGGAAGCACGGATGCGCAATGGTTTAGTCAAAGGTCATGCATACAGTATAACGGGGATGAAGATGGTAAAACATTTCACATTGTAAAGTTAACACATAATTTTTTTTACCATATAGGTGTTTCATATCTCTTGTTAAATACTTTATTTTAAGGTGAATGGACCACGTGGTAGTATACCGTTACTACGTATACGTAATCCATGGGGTAATGAACAAGAATGGAATGGTGCGTGGTCGGATAATTCAACGGAATGGCAGTATATTTCCGAGCAACAGCGTGATGAGATGGGTTTAGTTTTTGCGCATGACGGAGAATTTTGGTTTGTTTTAATATTGTTTTTGTCGGTTTACAGTAATAATCAAATTCAAGAAGCTGTACTGAATTCTTTTCTTCTAAATGTTCAATATGAAGAATAAATCAATTCGACAATAATCAGTTTAAAACAATACAGATATGGTGGTTTGACTAAGTCATAGATATCGATGTAACAAACCATTCGGTCATATTTCATTTCGCCAGGATTGTTCCATTACACTTACCTATTATGGATGATTCATTAATAAATAGCATGTTAGATATGATCAGGAAGTAAGCTTCTGAAAGAGAGTCGTAATTCTATTCATTTGAAATCTTCATTTTATTCATTCCTAAATTAAGCTCAGTAGCTTTACAAGAAACTTGGACCTCACTTTTTTTTGTTGCTGAAAAGTTAATGTTACAATTTTTAGTTGTCTACATTCTCACTATCAGGAAGTTGATATTCTCTATAAAAATTACATACTGTTCTGGTTCACTTTACTTAGACATTTAAATGATAATGAATTTGATTTCTAGGATGTCATTCAATGATTTCATGCGTTATTTCGAAAAAATGGAAATATGTAACTTGGGTCCAGAAGTTATGAATGAAGTATGTTTTTTTTTCTTCCTTTTGTAAATATAACTTAATGATATTTTTTGTATCCTTATTTTCATTAATAATACATGATTGCATATGCAGGTTTATCAAATGACTGGTGTCCAATCGTCACAGAATGCCTGGGCAACATTTAGCCATAATGGTGCTTGGATTCAAAATGAAACAGCTGGAGGATGCCGGAACTACATCCGTATGCATATTTTGTCTTCCGTCTTCGTATTTCTTTCTTTTGTTAAAAATTTTCTAAGCTTCTCTGTTCTGTTACAATAGTATCAATTAGTAAGAAGTTTACTATAGTTATCAACCGTTCCTTTAAAGTATTTAACATAAGCGTATTCTAGCCTAGCTGGAATTAACGCTCACTGAAAAGTAGTGGATTAGTGTTAGTATGTATGTGTGCATTTTCAAACATTTTTAATGCTTTTCCTCATGGTTTTTACTTGGTAGGATTAAAATTAAACGACACATTGCTTAGGGACATTTGCGATGAATCCTCAATATCGTATCCAGGTGACAGATTCGGATCCGTATGATGATGATAACTTATGTACCGTGATAATTGCCGTATTGCAAAAGTATCGACGTGAGCTCAAACATTTGGGTATCGAGAATTTACCTATAGGATTTGCCGTTTATGATGTAAAATCATTCTTTTTTCTTTTTTATTGAAGTAATACATTTGAATTAATGTTGAAGTCTTAACTATCGATAACTTTGTCAGTAAAAAGGCTTATTCAAATCTCATGAAAACTGAACTAGGCATCAAAATACTTGCCACAACAAATTAGTTTTAGCACAAATTGCAGGAACGTATTTTCCTACCAAAAACTTTTTGTCTCTTCCAAAATTTGTTTCTTCTCAATAATCTTTTCAAAAAAGAAACAGAAATTTTCGAAAATAGAAAATTTACCGTGAAGTAAATAAG